AGGCTGCGGTAGCAGCGCGGTCGCTGCCACCATCGGCTCTCTTATTGCCCCGCGGTCGGCGTGAGGTGCCACCTCGAGAGCCAGGTCCACGTAATGGCAGGCCAGTATCTTGGGAGACGGGCACGGCAGCTGCAATAGGAACGTGTGGGTGCGAGGTCACGGTCCGAGTCCGACCTGTTCCTCGCCCACGGCCACGGCCACGTTTGATTGTACCATCGGCGCTGCAGATAATTAGTAAATGTGCAGTAAGGGGACAATGAGTAGACATACCGTTCCACTTGGACCTTTTCTCCCTCCGGGACTAGTGGCCCACTGTAGACAAAGAACCCGTCCTTGCTAGCAGCAGCCTGCTCCTGCCACACCATTTCGGTGTCATCCACAAATGGATCATCACGGTCATATTCCTCGACCTTCTTGCGTCGCTTCTTCTTTCCATCGCTAGTCTCCGAGGGCGCACCGTTGGTTCCTGTGCCAGTGCCACCCATGGGAACATCGCCATCCATATCACTATCGCGTTCTGCATCGAGGCTCAGATCCTCATCGGCACTCTCGCCGGCAGATATCCCTTTGGCAGTCTTATCATTTCGTTCTAACGCGGCCGCAGCAGCTGCCACTCGAGCCATGCGGGCTTTGTGAGCGGCCAGACGAGGGTGCAAGGCAGCGAAGCCATATTGCTCTTCTGCAAGCCGTGCAAAGTTCACAATCTGGTTGCCCTTTTGTAGCGGAACATGAACGATGATGCTGGGTGCGCTTCGTGAGTCGGGCGACTTTGCAGGTTCCTCTCCTCCGCCGAACAGCGCGTTTGTGATCATGCCAGATCCTTGGGGCAGTTGAGGAGCATCTTTGGCAGATCGCGCTGGCTTGGGAGATGAGGCCTTTGATGTCGGTGCAGTAGCTGTACTCTTTTCCTTTTTAGCGCTAGGTTCAAGCTGCTCTGTGGGATCGATTTCCATTGAATCGGTTGGTTGTTGTCTGGGCGGAGTCGACTGCACAGCGGGTTCGGGTTGCGCGGGAGGCTGAGGTTGCACCGGCGGAGACGGTTCGGGTTTAGGAGGTTGTGATGGCGTTGGCCGCTGCTCGGTAGGTGGGTATGGGGTGGTGTAGGGGGTAGACTGCGACATGGCCTGCGGGATGTGCATGGCTCCACGGGCAGCGGAGGAAACGGGGGGTGCTAAGGACGGATGTGGAGAGGTGGAAACCATCGCAGACAGTGCTGGCGAAGAGAGGCCGGATACATGGCCAGAAGAGGAGCGTTGAAGGGTGTTGTAAATTGGTTGAGAGTTCTGGGCTGGTGGGTCGATAATGCTTGAGATCGCCGGCGATGCACTGGCACGATAAGCATTGCGAGGAGAGATTGCGCGAGTAGAAGGACTGTATGATGGCGCTGGCGATGGATTGTCGAACGCAGAGCGAATGGGGTCGAAGTTTTGCCCGCTGGTTCGTTGAGGTGGCGGTTGCGGTACTGGAGGTTGCGATTGTGGGCGGGAGGGTTGCGACAGCTGATACGAAGCTCCTGGGGCTGTATGGGATGGTGTATTTGAGTATGAAGACGGAGCAGATTGAGGAGGTTGAGGAGGTTGAGGCGGTGGAGCTATTTGAGGTTGCGTAGGTTGCGTTGGTTGAGTTGGCTGAGTTGGCTGAGTTGGCTGAGTTGGCTGAGTTGGCTGAGTTGGCTGAGCGGGCTGTGCAGGTTGAGGCGTTGCAGGGGTATGTGGAGGGCTGCGAGCGTCTGGAGCAGCCCTTTCTTCCGCGGGTTCCAGCTTGGGCTTTTTCCGGGAAGCAGTGGTGTTGGATTTCTCCCGTGGCCGGCGAGGAGCTCGGACCGGTTTCTCTTTTGTTTCCTTCGGTTCCTTGTCCTTTTTGGTCTTGTCCTTGTCCTTGTCGGGGTCGTCGTCCTTCTTACGACGCGACCGCCTGGCGGTACCGGAGGCACGTCGGGCGCCTGCTCCGGATTTGACATCGTCAACGGGCCCTTCTTCTTTTTGTATCCCCATCTTAGCAGGGTCCGACATAATTTAGCACAATGCCAATGCCAATTAACAGACCGAAAATTGACAAAGTGATGGAATTAGTCAAAATCGGGATGAAGGCGTTGAGTTGACGCAAAGTGGTGAAACGTGTCGGTATCAGGTCGGCAAACAGAGATTTGGGGGGGAAGAGGAACACCAGAAAGATAAGATGGTGAGGCAGAGAGAAAACAGCCAGGAAGCGCGGGAAAAGCAGAAAAAAAAAAGCGAGAGGAGCGGAAGGGGGGAAGGGGAAAATGTCGAGAGGAAAAAGAGAGCGAAAGCAGAAATAGAAAGGGAGAAGACGACGGGAAAAAAAGAGGGAAAAAGGGAAGAAAGGGGACGAGAGCAAGCAGGTTATGGATCAAACAGCACATTACATTTGGCAAAGTACTAGCAATTTGATATGTCCAGCTCTATAGTACGTCGGAGATATGGGGAAATTGCTATAGAACGGTATATAGAGAGGGAGCATGGCGCTATACTTACCCTCTATCTTGTGTAGAATTCTTGTTTCCTGAAGTCACGGAGCATTGGAGACCATATCCATTATTCCCTTGCGGATCGTTGAGCTTAGAACCGTAAATTGTGCGCAGTACCTGATACCGGAATGGCCTCATTTACCGAATGGCCTCATGTGATTCAAATCAGATGTTCGCTATATTTTGGGATTATATCTGGTTTCGACTGACTATTTCTTCCATCTTATAGACAATAGAGTCTATGTAATATTGATCCTGCCTGTGTATTCCCTGTGGAAGTTCATGATAGGTACGACAATATCGACGTCGACGTGCATAAGAACCGTTTAGCTGAGGAAAAACCCCTCCAACATCCTTCTTTCTATTTCCATCGAGATGAATGATCCTAACCAGTCTTCCATCGGTCTTTCATAGCATAGAAAAATCAACGCAGGCCGTATACAACATTGTAGATGCCACGGACCAATGTGAGGAATCCAATTGGGACTAGCACATCCGCCATCTTCCACTAGCCCATTCCGGTTAGCCTCTTCTGCAGCCCCATTTTAGCTTTGGGAGCCGCATCTTGGATCTCCCCGCGCTGACATAACCTTTTTTTTCTCCTCTTCACCAGTATTTACGCATCATGGCTTTCCGAGGTGAACGCTTCCTTCTCGACCTGGATGGTGAATCTGGTGCTCCAGAAATTCCCTCTCCCTTCTCTCTGATCGGGGAGATCCAAGAACGGGCTCCCCCCACCGCCATTCCCCCCGCGCCTAAATTGCCGACCTTGTCGTCATCGACTGGATTCCCTGCCCCTCGCCCGCGCAAGCCCTCTTCCTTCAAGCAGCGACGAGCAAACCAGTCCACTCCTCCGACTCCTGTACCTACTCAACCGACCGTCCAAGATGACAAGAAATCCATCGATGAGGAGAACCGCCGTCAGCTGGCGGCAATGTCAGACGCGCAGATTCAACAGGAGCGAGAGGAGCTGATGGAACAGATGGACCCAGGACTTCTTGCACGATTCCTCCGCAGAGCAAATATTGAAGAAGATGAAAAGACTGGATTTGAACCGCCGGCACCTGTGGCCGACGAAAAACCTAAACCAAAAAAATCAGTCTCCTTCGACACTCCTTCGTCTGCACCTGTTTCTGCTCCAAGCGCACAACATTCTCTACCCAAACCATCACCTAAGCCGCACCCCCGTAATGAAGATCTCGCTCCACCAAACCTCCCACAAGACCTCCGCCCGGCCTCTGAACGGCCTTCCCTTGACCCCGCTACTCTTGAAACCTTCCACTTCCCCCAGCCAAAAGCGCCGATGCCAGTCCTAGACCCATCTTCACCGTCTTTCCTGACAGATCTCCAGTCACACTACTTCCCCGAGATAGCACAGGATCCATCAACGCTCTCCTGGATGCAGCCTCTCTCTGCCGACGAAGAAGACCCAGATTCCACGTCAGCCTACCACCCAGCCAGCAACGCCATCTCAATGGCGCCCTCGGCAATCCGCTTCTCACTAAGAGGAACCATCCTTGCCCCCGAAACATCCCTCTCCCTCCCGACAACCATGGGCCTGCACCATCACGGCGAGGATCCGCATGCCGCGGGCTACACGATCCCCGAGCTGGCAATTCTGGCACGCTCGACGTTCCCCGCGCAACGATGCATCGCGTGGCAGGTCATTGGCCGGATCTTATTCCGTCTCGGTCGAGCAGAGTTTGGAGAGCGGGGTGGGCAGCTGTCCGATGGACTCTGGTTCGTTATTGAAAAGGAAGGCATTGTTGCTGGTATGCTTGCCGAGGCCGATGGCGCTGCTGGTCAGACCCAGGGTAGAGATAAGAGCAAGAATGCAAAAGATGCCGAGGGTAGTAACTTGCCTCTTGCATCCGGTGTTGGTCGTCATGCTAGTGCTGCGGCATGGGCGGTTGAGGGTATATGGTTGTGGCAAAAGGGAGGGGGTGGTGATCGTGGATTGTTGAAGGAAAACCAACATCGATCTCTATAGATGATCTTGTTATATTTTGTTCGGTTGAGGAAACTAACATGATATATATGCTTATGCATAGTACAAAAAAGCCATGATAATATTCAGTTGTAACAGGTACACATCTACGCTTTCTAATTGAAATGTCCCATCATACCCATATTCACTCGCATCCAACTTTGGCCATCCCCTCCTCTGCCCCCCGCGGCCATCGATGTAAGATTCGTCGAGAGACAGATCGATATCCGCAGTAGAACAGAGACGAAGATGCGAACCCAAAGCCAAATACGAGAATTGTAACGGAATGTTGCACTGCAACATTCAATTGCAATGTCAGGGCTCGTGCATAGCACTTTTTGCAATGGTCATTGATATATCGCATCCGATACAGAGCTTATTCACTTCCGAGGAAGGAATTTCAAGGCATGGATCTCGCCTTGCGCTCCACCTTACAGCGCGAATAGTATCCTATGAATGAGTAGAACGTGAGCATAACAGAAGCAAGAAACTTGGAGTATGGGTATTAGTAGACTATGACTGAGATCAGGCGAACACGCGAGTCCGCTTTACAGGGCTGCCCATACGCATAGACGCGTTTCCGCCGGCCATACCATTCAGTAGGCGGCCCATTCCTTCCACATCCAGTTCGCCTCGTTGGAGCATCAGCTGGTCGGTCTCTTCTGTTTCTTCCTGTTTCACTACGGGCAGGCTTTCCTCGATGGATTCTGTCAACTTCGGGGCGAGAATCATAATCTGATGCTCTGCTGCCACGAGTACATCCCAGACTTGCCGCAGCGCTTGCCGGGATCGGCGTGCCGGTGCAGGTATGTGTCCAATTGCTTGGAAGTTCTGGCCCATCAAATTCACGTCCTGGAAAGGAGAAACGCGGCATCGGTTCGAGGAATCAAAAGTGCCGGCGGTTTTGACAGCGTTGCGCCACAGAGACAGTAAGCTCGTGATGACCGCGCTCTGGCGGCCGTGACGGAGCAGGATCGACTCGTCAGGCAATACGTCCGAGGATGGATTTGTCTGCAAGACAGAGATTTGGCCACGGTGAGACGGACTGGCTGTGCTCATCGATCCCTTCAGCAATCCATCTTCACGTACACGCCTTGTGGATGGTGTCATAGGCGCGAACCGGGGTCGATGCTCTGTTTCGGAGTTGGTGTTGGAAAGTGGTGTCATAATACGACCGCAGACAGCGTATGCTGTCAAGGAACCGCCAGTCACACCTTGGACACTCGTCTGACGTTGCAGCGGGCCCTTGACAGCCCCAGGACCGGCACCTTCGATATCCCATACGCCCCATTCGCCGTCTTCGAGAAGCACCATAACTGCTCGGCCGCCGAGCACCCAGTCGGCATCAATGATTCTCTTCCGCCGGGGAAGTCCGCCGGGCCCTTGCTCAAAACCGGGGTACAAACTGATCAACCAGCGACCTTCCGTGTCGATAGTTTCATATTCTTCTACTGGCATCGAAGCCCGTCGCAAAGATCTCGAGGCCTTTTTAACAAAGCAGGAATAAATCTTCACACATCCGCTGTAGAATGCGACAAGCAGGTTGGCATGGCGGGCGGATGGCCATGTGGATGGGTTGAAGGCAATCGTCTGTGCAGGTGCCGGCAAGAGGCGCCGTTGAGAGATAATGTCCTCTTCCACGAGACGCAAAGAAGATTCCTCGCGGATCGGAATCCGGTGCAGCAACAGCACGCCGCACCCCTCTGCAGAATGCGTGGCCACAAGCAGATCCCATTTACCAAAATTTCCAAATCGGCCCCGCGACTTTCGCTGGTCTTGCTCATCCTCAAATTCATGACAGGTGAATGTGATAGATACACCACGTGGAATATCTTGATGAGTGGTGGCCCCATTGATCGAAAGGGTTTGGATACGCCAGCTTTTTGAATCCGTCTGCGTAGGGTGAGGAGGCACAAGTGGTAGAGTCACAACTTTTGTTGACAGGTCTGAACAAACTACCGACACAACAATTGTGTTTCTCAGTATAGGTGGGAAGGGGTCTAAAGGCGAGCGAGCTTCCTCGGGGAGAACACGGGGCACCGCCAGTTCTAGCACCTGGCTTCCAAGGGGAATATCAATTTGTCGCAGAATCTCTTCGTACGGAGCAGCAGGGTCAACCTCGCTTTCCTCTAGACTGAATTCAACCACAGGCTCTTCTTGTACTGGTTGAGGGTCCTCGTCATCGGAGTCAATAATCATGACTGAATCGGAATCCGCATTACTTCCTGCTGGCTTGGGCTTCGCTTGAGGCCGAGTCAGCTTTGGTTCTGCAAACCGTCTCCCTCCTCTCCAGACAATTTTTAATCCAGTATCATAACCGTAAATGATGATCGAGGAGCCATTCGGAGCTCGAAGTGGGTAGCCTTTTGCTGTGTGAATGCGATGGGAGAGCGGATAGCTAAAGATTTTGCATTAACGAGATTAGCGTCAACCCAAGTATCATGACCTAAGCGCATCACTCATACCTGATCTGCAAGCCATCTTCCCTAGGCCGCACCAAGGGCGTAGTGGGAAATGAGGGCATTATGCTAGTTGGCGATGCTGTCGAGCTACAGGTAGCTTCGAGCACAGGCGCAACAGTGCACTGCAGGGATGATAGACAGTCGAAGACTTGTAGTCAAAGTAAGATCTGATAACTGAACGTCTGTTCCTATGCAAAAGCAGATTGAGAGAAGGATGTTAGAGGTAGGGAGAGTGGAGGGTTGGGTAGATGGAAAAAGGAAGTTGTTTTGGTCGGGGAAAGCGAAGACAACTTGATCCAATCCGCGTTCCAGCGCGTCTTCCAACTTCGCCATTCAACCACTTGGCATGCGTTCTTAGCGCACCGTTAATTGAACTTGCATGACTTATATGAGCGATGGAAATGATTTCAACGAGTTTGACTGCAGAACTGTTTGTGACGGCGCACCACGATCGCTACGGCTGTTAACCAGCCCACCATGGCGTCAGTTCGCTCTTTGGGCGTCCACGAACCCTCGGCCATCTCCTACTTAGTCGCAGAGGGAATTCTCCCTCAGGAACCTTCAGAAGACCATTACAACTGGACGCTATGCGTGGACGAAAGCGGATTGACTGGCCCGGTGGACGATGAGTTAGTATGGACGAAACACTGTGTTGTATGGTCCCGCGCAGGGATGGTGAAGCGAGTATTTCGAATGGACCCCGAGAAAGAAGAGATTCGACATGCTCTATTCACTCGTTTTGCCGCTGAAGACACGAAACGCGCCAAACCCACGCCTCCAAGTCGACCTGAAGCAACTACTGGCACGCAGAAACAAAAGCGGACTGAAACCTTCTCAACATTGGATCTACATGGAGATGCACGAGTGGCGGTTGTAGCTCCCCAGCACTCTAACGAGGCTCTTTCTAGAGCGTTGGTGGTAGTTCTCAAATCGCAAGCTCATATCTTCTTCGTGGCGGGCAATAGTCATACAATTCCCCTCCCATTTGAGGTTGACTCCGTCTTCGCTACGCCTCGGGGTCTTATTTTCCAAAGAAAGGTCCAGAATGAAAATAGTAGCAGTCAACAACCGACTGCGCCGCCTAATTCCTTCGTGTCTTCGCTATTTGATCCCGGTGCCTCTCAGTCATTTTCTCTCAGCAAAAACAAGCGTCCATCGACGAAATCCTCGTCTGCTCCAGGTCCTTCCTGGGTGCCAAATACCGCCTCAAGCACCGACCTACCCCGAGTTTTCTCTCTCATTAATCCTCATTCCGAGATGGGCTTAGTTGTGACGTCGCAAACTTCCCGCTGGCTTCAGAGCAGCATCACTAGCACCAGAAAAAGGCCGTCTGGACTAGAGGTGCTGGACCCTGTGGATGAGATTGTGTATATCTCTCCAAAAGACGAACTCTCGGGCATCAACAGACCAAATAGTGGTCCTTTGATCCTAGTCGTTACCATCAACACAACTACAGGTATTTATACAGTCTGGACTGCGCACTACAAAGATGATGAATCAGGCGGCTCGATGAAAGATAAAACCAGACGGGAAACAGGAGGTACCCGGTCAGTAAGGCGAAGCTCACATTTCGGGATGGCGACTGGCGCGACAACACCAGCCGCTCGTTCTGGAGCAGGCCGAGAGAGCTTCGGGCCTCGAACTGACAACTGGCCTTCCACTCAGTTATCTGAAGGGAGAAATGATGCCGAAGACGACTTGGCTTCGAGAGTAGCCCAAGACTTCGGAGATGTCGGTGTTCCCCTCAAAACATCGAGGCGAGTCAGCTCACTGCTCGCCCGAACAGACCTTGCAACTAGCCAGGACCGTATCACTTTTTCGGACCTGGCTACTGGCAGTCAGTCCAGCAACATGCCTCATGGTGCTGGGTTCAGGCAATCTCTCGGAGCAAGCATGCGTGGAAGCTTTGGTTTCAATCCTCGAGGCTCTCTACCTCCAGGCACAGGGTCTGTTTACAGCACTGCAGGCAGCTTTCTGGATACTCCAGTGGACAAGCTACTCGAAGAGCTTAACAATGACAGTCTATCTTCCGGGTTTGATAACATTGCCCTACGTGAATCGACGTCCGGACTCCCGGAAGAACTTATATTGACCAAGGTTGAAAGTTTCTCGTCCCAATTCTCGGGCAGCTTCCAAAAAGAGCCAGCATCTCGCCGGTTGAAGATCTCTACATTGGCATCCACCGAGTTTGGAAGCGCCCACAAAGGCAACACAACTTTCCTAGCTGTATACATCGTGGACCAGGAGGCACGGAAATTAACTATTGTGAATCTGAGGGCCGACCGACAGCCAGCCCCCAAGAACCGGAAGAAAAAGTCCAAGACCTCATTACTCGTGCGTGCGGTTAGGATCCAAAATGTGTCAAACGTTTTGGATGCTTGTAGAATCTCTGATGGGGATCTTTCGCGAATACTCTCACTAAGCGAAACAGAAAGTGGACAACGCGAGCTATCATTGCAAACCCTGTGGGGTAGTCCCGTCAAAGTTGAGGTTCCTATTCCACTGCAGCTGTATGAACCGGATGGCATCTCTGCCAACAAACTCGAGAGTCGCCCAAGAGAAAGTGGCGTCCACCGAGTCATGGCAGATCCCAGCCTCGTCTTCAACAAGTTTGATCATGGGTGCTCCCGCGGGAAAGTCGACCTGGTAGACACTGATAAAAAGCGCCACAGACTCCAAATTCGAATGGAGCCTCGCAATGAACTGGTGAAGAAAATACTCAAAATCTGCATGTTTGCCTTGCGTGAGTCTGAGAAAGCGGGCGATGGCATCACGGTCGCATGGTGGGAGGTCATGAAATGGCTTCGAGGCAAAGAGGAAGACAACATTGAATGGACCGCCATGACAGTCGTCTTGTTGAGTCTAGCAGCCCCATTCGTCACCCCTCCACAAACGCAGACTCCCAAACGAACGCGTCGCAAAAAGGGTCTACTTAGATCAAGTAGTGGAGGACACCTGGATCTGGAAAGCTGGGAGTCCATGCTGGACCTGGAGTCTGGCTCATCCGGCGTCGTAGCTCCGTGGATGATGGACGGTTCCTGGGGATGGATCGTTGAACAAGATGCAATTGAGAGTCTCGCGTCAGGAGACGCACCCAAGGGTGTCAATGCAAGTCGGTCTACATATCGCCAGAATTCGTACTTGATCCGGTGCATCGCCCTCAGCCGCGAATTCCTCCAGAGTCCCGAAGGCCTCAGGGCTGCTGGCCGAGACGGCTATCTCCCTATCTCTGAAGCATTCTCGGAAAACACAAGATGTACCGCATTGTGCAGTGTTCTTGTAGCCTTGCATCTATTGCGAGAAGAACAGAAGCTCTCCACCTGCGACTCGGAGGAATCCCAAAGACCTCTAGGTTTGCTTGCTCCCGTTATCGCACAACTGGGCAGCTGGCTAGGATGGGAATCATGGACATGGGCCGAGGATGCATATTATGGCACCGAAATGGCCAGTATGGAGCGCTGGCAGTTTGAGGATAATACACATATCGCTGGGCTGAAGGTTCCCGCCGAACCCTTTCCGCCTCCGTCCATCTTCGAATTTCTCATGGGAGCTGCTGCTCATCGGAGCCCCACACCATTTGTTTCTCTCCTTGATATTGTGAATGCAGCCGAGCGAACTCCCAGGAAAGGGCGAATGTGGCGTGAATGTTTCGGTATCACACCAAGGACGTGTGCGTTGAATGGATTCTTCACCGAGGTTCACAGTGTATCGACGCCCTTGGAAAAAATCAAGCTTTTGCAGCGTTGGGGCTTCACAAAGAGTGTCATTGATAGCTTCCCAGAAGGCGTCAGTGCCCCGCTCTATGAAGCCGTCATGCAATGCCAGATTGAAGCCTCCACGTCCTGGAACGCCACGCTCCTAGAAATGATTGACAGAGAAGACCTTTACATGTCGATGAACCCGGCCCAACCCAGTTCATTGGCAGCGCCGCAGCAGCCCAATCATAATGCCGTCCGGGATTTCCATTATATCAGCAGCTCAGCATTGGATATTGATGCCACCAATGCGTTTGAGGCTTCTGCAGAGGCTGACCGATACTCGGTCACCAGGCTGATATTCCGAGAGGATAAGCGATTTGTGGAAGCAGGTAAACTACTAAACCAGTCCAAAGCACCGGTGGCAGAGTGCATAGCCGAACCTGGCTGGAGTGATTCGGACTTGTTAGAGGCGCAGAAAGAAATCGTGCAGCTCGTGACAGTCCGGACGTTGTCTACTCCAGCGGGTCGTGCAATGCTCACTTTTAGTGGCCGATTGCCTTTGTTGACTGAGAAACTGCCCATCCCTTCATTTTCCCTGCAGTGTGTCATGAAGCCAGACAATGTGACTGTCAGCGCAGATAAATCTGCGTTCTCGGAAGAAAAGGTCTGCTGGGCCTTCTTCCACAACGGAGTCTCAACCGGTCTGGCAATCTCCAAGGCGTCGAAGGGTATTGATACGTCGTGGATATTGTTCAACAAGCCACAGGATCTTACCAACCGTCATGCCGGGTTCTTGTTGGCTCTGGGTCTGAATGGCCATCTTAAATCGTTGGCTAAGTGGGTAGCTTTCAAGTACCTCACTCCAAAGCATACCATGACATCAATTGGTCTCCTGCTCGGTCTCTCTGCGTCATACTTGGGCACAATGGATACTCTAATCACACGCTTGCTTTCGGTACATGTTACAAGAATGCTTCCATTTGGAGCAGCTGAGCTGAACCTGTCACCGTTGACTCAGACTGCTGGAATTATGGGTATCGGTTTACTTTACTGTGGCTCCCAGCATCGTCGTATGAGCGAGGTCATGCTCTCGGAAATCGAGAACAGTGAGCAGGACGAGCAAGCTGCTGCTACCGGAGAAGAACTCCGCGACGAAGGATATCGTCTGGCCGCAGGCTTTGCCCTCGGTTTCATTAACCTTGGCAAAGGCGATGACTTGCGGGGCATGCGCGATATGCACATTGTTGAACGGCTATTGTCAATAGCCGTGGGTACCAAGACCGTCGAAATCGCTCATGTACTCGACCGCGCCACGGCTGGCGCGACCATTGCTCTCATGATTATCTTCATGAAGACGAATGACTCGGTACTAGCGAAGAAGATTGACATTCCTGATACCACTGTTCGCTTCGACTACGTGAGGCCAGATATCTTCCTGTTACGAACACTGGCACGACACTTGATCATGTGGGATAGTATCAAGCCCACTGCTGAGTGGATCAGCCAGAGTCTGCCCGAAGTCTACCGGGGACGATCCCAACTCAGCGAGGTGCGCCGGCTGCGCAGCGAAGATATGCCATTCTTCAACATTATTGCAGGCCTCTGCTTTGCGGTCGGTCTCCGCCATGCTGGATCGGGACAAGCACAGGCCCGAGATCTTTTGTTGTTTTATCTAGACCAGCTTATCCGCATCTCACGGCTGCCTGTGCGAAGCTACGATGCTAGACTCGCCCGCAATTCGGTTCGGAATTGTCAAGACTTGGTAGCCCTATCTGCTGCGGCAGTCATGGCCGGCACGGGTGATCTAGCTCTGTTCCGGCGCCTGCGCTCGCTCCATGGTCGAATCGACGCTGATACACCATATGGCAGTCACATGGCGGCACACATGGCTATCGGAGTGCTCTTCCTTGGAGGAGGTAGCTATACACTTGGCACATCCAACCGGGCTGTGACCGCGCTTATATGCGCATTCTACCCTATCTTCCCAACGACTGTCCTTGATAACAAATGCCATCTCCAAGCCTTCCGCCATCTTTGGGTTCTCGCCGCTGAACCACGATGCCTCATCCCTCGTGATCTTGATTCCCGCCGCCCAATTTCGATCCCCATTACCATCACTTCTCACGACGAGACAACCCGCACCGTCAGCGCTCCCTGTCTACTGCCAGATCTTAGCAGCATCGCCCGTATCGAGATTCGCGGACCAGACCACTGGCCGCTCGTTCTAGATTTCAGCCAGAATGATGCCCTGCGCGAGAAATTCCTCCGCGGCGACCCATCCATCTATCTTCGCCGCAAGGCAACCTACAGTCCAAGCTCCTCAACCTCCGTATTCGCCTCCACCCTGACCGGGCTCAGCGAAGCCCAAGACATCCTCCCAGCAACGGCTGGTCCCCTCTCAAACCCAGCCAAGGGCCTGCCACCCTCAGCATGGCCAACCCGCATGGCCCTACTCACCGGTAAGGCATCTACATTGATAACTCCGTCCCAAACCCCCTGGGACTGGGTCTTCCACCTCCCATCCCTACAAGACCTCGATATACGCGAGCGCTCCCTCGTCCTCCCATCTTCCTTCCCGATGCGCTCCGTGCGCATCACCACCGATCTTGTCTCCGTCCCACCTTGGCTGCGTACCTCAGCTGTAGATGCGAGACTCGCTCTGTCCCACACCGTGCGCAACATCGTGCAATCTGCACGCGGTCGCGGCGCTGATCCGGACCAAATTCGTGATCGGATCTGGCAGCTTCGTTTGCTATTTGATTGGCTGGATCGTACTCAGCCCGGCGATGAACGCGACCATCTTTCGAGTAGAGGGCTGCTTTCTTCGACGCAGGGTCAGCCGTCTGGGCTGTGGTTGCGGAGGGACTTTGTTGAAGAAGCTAAGTGGCAAGTTTGGGGTGTTCAGGTCGGAGATCTTGAGGGAGAGAACCAGATATAATTTTATTCGCATTAGGAAGAGAGACAGGTCTTCAATGCTATGTGTATTTCTAATTCTTTCTTCTGAAATATAAATTTCCTGGAAGTTCATCGCAGACAATCGAGAGCCTTTGTGCCGCCATATCACCTCTTTTCTACTTCTTTTCTGGTCGACTAGATTCAGATCGACTGTTTTGGATGTGTGATATTCTAGATAGATGTAAATTTAGATTTGTAGGCTACTGTTACAGATATTCTATGAGCCATTTCAAGTTTATATTGATAGTGAGTGGTGTTGATATTGATACGGATATCGATATCAACCTGAACAGCTCCTATACCAAATGCAATACACGCGGGTCGATAGGTATATCCATGCAAGGGTGCAATCTGCATAACGTCGTCAAGCGTCGAGCATCAAGCATCACGCATTCTCTGTTCAATTCCAATCAACCATCATACCCAACGGCCTGGAGCTCTTTCCTCACCGCATCCTCGGTTTGGATCTTCTTCATCTGCGTGTCCTCCAGCTTCTCGCCACCTGCAAGACGCATTTTAAGCTCATCAATAGCGCGAATCTTCTTCAGTAGGCCACGGACCTTCTTATCTTGAGCAGAGGAATCCTCAACAGACACGGGAGCAGGGGGAGCAGGGGTGGGAGCAGGAGCAGGAGCAGCGGGAGGAGGAGTAGGCGTGGACTTGGCCGGACCGTTTCCATTGGTAGTGCCATTCTTGCCGCGGTTACGACTGCGTTCTGAGCTGGGCGCAGTCGGGGCGTTCGCGGGAACCTCGGTTCCTTCTTCCTTAGCCTTCTTGGCCGCCTCACGCTTCTTCTTGTTTTTCGCGGCCGACTTGGACAGGTTCTCGGCAGGCAGGGCGACGCCGCCGCCGGGTGCGGCTCCGGGAGGCAGATACTCCTCCGAGGGCTCGGCACCGGGGATCTCACGGCGACGGGGCTTGCCGAAAGTGTTCATGCTGGCGCCGGGAACGCCATCGCGGACAAAGGCGGCACCGCCTTCGTCTTCACGCTTGAATGCGAGCGGGGTCAGCTGGCCACGGGCACCGGGGGGACGGTAGGCACCTGCGGGCTTGACGGGAGCCTTGCGCGTGCCCATATACGCGAGAGCGGAGGGGTGGGGCGCAGGCACCTTGGTGAGCGGCTCGCCTAGCGGGTGCTGCTCGATGCTCTGCGGGCGCCAGCTGACGTCGTAGAGCTCGGTCATCTCCTCGTTGTAGACGAGACCGCCGGTAACGTGCCAGATGCGCACGCCGTTGTCGACACGCAGACGGGGGCTGGTCGTCGCGGTCAGAATATACTGTCCATCGGGCGACCAGGCGCACACGCTGGCGTTGGAGGCCTCGACGGTGGTGATCTTGTGGTAGTTCTTGTCCATATCGTAGATGTCCATCTGTCCTGCCAGGTTACCGAAACCGGCAACTAGCACGAAGCGGCCATGCGGCGAGAACTGGATGGTGTTGCGCGGCGCAAGGGGAAAGTTGTGTTTGGGCACACCGCGAAAGTTGAAGATGGTCGTCTTCGTGGGCATGTAGCCGTACACAACACCGAATTCCTTCGAGTTGGGGTTCCAGCTAACATCGTGAATAGGACCCTCCTTATCTGTGGAGTGTCAGTTAGTTCAACATGTAGTATAGTGAGAAGACATACCAAGATCAATGCGCGAGTCGAATGCACCGCTAGCGCTTAGCAAGTACAGGGTTGTCTCGCCGTAGTAACTCTTGCCAGTGCGGTCCACCTCAGTCTGCGCAAGCACGATCAAAGTAGTTCCCGAAGCATTCCACTTCAGTTGGACTTTATCGCCCTTGAAGAAACTCTTCTGCGACACGGGCGAAGTGAACTGCGGGACAATGAACACCTTAACCTGGGCGGGCTGGCCCTTGCGCTCAGGAATGAACACGGCAATGGACTGAGTCTGACCAGGCGATAACGCAAAATCCGCGACTCCCTCCACGCGCAATTTGTTCCAAACAGTGGACAGGTTGTCGCTCTGGTAGAACTGAACCTCGTTGGTCACGGTACGGGCGCACAGCCGCTCATCGGCAGTGTACTGCAAGTTCCAACCGGTCTGCGACTTCTGGACGAAACTTCCCACAATCGTGTGATCGTCCCCATCCTCAATGGCACGCCACACCTTCAAGTTCTTGACGGCATCTCCGTTCTCGTCCTTGGATGTGCGCTGCCAGGTGATCACATAGGTGCCGAGTGGCGAGAATCCAAGCTCGAACACGTTCTCGGCGGGGATGGTTCCAACGACTTGGCCCACGGAGGGATCGATAATGGTGACCCTATGTTGGAGACGAATGTTAGAATTTGGACGTGGAGTTGGGGGGCAAGTCAACTTACTTCTCGGGTGATGCCCATGCGAAGTACCGACCACACGGCGAGTAGCCGCTACAGCGGAGGTTACCCTCCGGTCTGGGAAACGAGTCAGCGACATCCCTTGTTTGTTATCTGGCTCAATGCTTACTTCGCGAACCCAGAAAGGGGCTGGTAGACAGGGGCGGCATCCATGATGCTAATGCCCTTGAGCGTGCGGACTGTGTGGTTATCAGCAACCATTCATCCACCCGCATAGCCAAATGCGACCTGAAGTCAGGGACATAGAAGATGGAAGGAAAACACGTACAAGCAAGTTGCGTAGGAGCAGCCATCTTGATTTCGACTCGCGGGTCTAGAATGAATCCACCAAAAGAAGAGAAATCGAATGCTTTTCGGGAACACAAAGTAAAATGGAATCTTCAAAGAAGAAACACGAATCACAAAGCGAACTTATAGGACCAAAATAGTCTCGCAGCGAACAACGGTCCCGGTGAAATAACGGGAGTCGAACAAAGGCGAAGCGAAACGGGCTTTTCGGGGGTATTTCTCGGATTGGGAATTCGTGGGGTTTCTGGGCAAGTGAAACCAGCAAGTCGGCGGAATAGAAGACTGCTAGACAAGTCAATGCCAGCAAAAGGGGTCGGGCGAAGAAAGGTAGTTGGGGTGGTTGAGAAGTGAAAGGAAGAAAACTCGGGTTTGGCGATGTGGCTCAGGCGGCATGCCGTCATCTGCAGTATACGCGTTGTGCCGGGACACCGATTGTATAGATTATGGGCTTTAGGCTTGGCTTGGAGCTTGATAGACTATATGGTAGCTTGCTGGTATATTATTCTATGTTAAATAGCAAGGATAGTGTCTAGGTGTCTAGATTTAGGTGCAAAAGACAGGTGGCAATGGTCTTTAGAGTGAAGACCCAGGTAGTTACCAACGACAGGTTGAATAATTGGAAGAGAAGAGTCTCAATACACAGGTTTCTCTCAGAATTACATGCGTAGTCATTGCTAATTCGAAACAGACACCAAAAAAAAAAAGCTATCCATTCGAGGCATCAAGCCACTAAAGAAAAACGCCTTCGTAACTTCTTGAATCTACCAAAGCATGAACCAGACACTAATCCCGGGCTGGCGAGCCAAATCCACTGCTGCTGTGACCGGGCGTAGAAACTAGTCGTGGAGTTCTGACAGTAGTATCAACGACATCCGAGTCAAAAGTCATACCATCCACCATGCGAGCATCCTCATTGATAGGCTCGGGAGTGATTGACCCAGCCGGCGACGACGATCTCATGGAGCTCTCCCCAGCATGTTGCTGTTGTTGCTGAAGATATGAAGCCAGCGAGTTCGGGCGATTGATATTCGAGCTGCCGATAGAAGTAGGTCGTCCTGCAATACCTCCAGAGGACACACGGCTCATTCCAGGCGGACGAGAAATCGGCCCGCTGTAAGTACTGTTGGCGCCCTCGCCAAAACCGACGAGACTGGCATTACCTTCATCACTGACGTTACTGACACTGGAAGTGCCGTCGTCCTCGTGCTCGCTCATCTTGTCGGCGTCGTATGTGTCGCTACTGCTCGCCCAGGTTGTGCGCCCGGCGATGCTGCCAGTCGCACTGGCGCTGCCGACTGTGCTGCGCTCCTTCAGTGCTTGACTCTCGAAGTATCCTGGAGCATATGGCAGAAGCTGGCTAGTGGGTGTCTGGCCACCGGCGCGGGCTGTGGCAACGCGCTCAAGGCCCGCTAGACGGGAGATGCGGTCTGCGCGTTCAGCCTCTAGGGTTGTGGAGGATGTGGAGGACTGGTGCGCATGGTGGCTGTGAGGGAATGGTTGGCCCTGGTGACCATCTTTGATGGCTGTTGTCGAAAGAGCGGACAGCGATGTAGTGCCGGAGTTGGGGGTGCCTCTGATTTTCTCCGTTGATTAGCAAGTCAGTCAACACTCCATGCTACGTATAGAGACAGGGAAGATGGAGTTATAGAGAGCTCTTACGGTCCCATATCCGATGGAGTGACGGGGTCCGATGGGGGAGGAGGCAAATTGATCAGCGTGGGAGTATTCATGATGCGAAGATATGAAGATGGATTAATTCTTTAGAAATTAAGTAGAGTCAGTAATGCGAGAGTTGTCAAAAGAGAAGTTGAGAGAGAAAGAGGGAAGGAGGGTGGACTTGGCCCTGGACTTTGCGAACTAAATAATTAATTTCCCCCCACGTCATACCTCGTGGCGTATACCGCGCGAGTTAACGGCCATGGGGACAATACTGCGGGCCACCATATTAATAGGAGATTACCTGGTCTATTGATCGGCTATTCCACTCAGAGGGGCTCTGTTCTTGACGAGATACTGAATTATCCAGTTTACTCGGTCGAAAATGAATATTAGATAGTTATATTTCGCCCCTATTTTATACAAACCGGAGCTATCGTGATGGTCACTAATAGCCACCATATGGTTAATATCTGTCCCGCCCATCTTTCCCCATAAAGGTGTTTACCAGAAATTCAATACTGGTAATCACTACGCCAAATTCATGCATTCGTTCATTCATGTATGCAATCTCCTATACTAAAACGTGAGAGAAAACAGCCTGCTGCCCCCTTCGATCACTAACGATTCTCATAATGCCCTCGAAGATCATCCACCTCTTTCTGCAGTTTGGTGAGATCAGCCAGGATGTCAAGGGCATTGGATGGTTGTGGGGCTGGGGCTGGAACAGGGACTGGAACTGGGGCTGGGGACTGGTTCTCCTTCAACCCCATCACATCACTGCTACGGGCAATGGAGTCTCGAGTGCGCCGAGGTGGAGGAGGCGGAGGTGGTCCAGAGACACTCCCATAGGATGATGTCCGCCGACCAGCCTTCAGTGATGATGGTCTGGAGTTAGTGGGGGGAGACAGGTTCAGTGAGATATTTCCCAACGGCGCAGTCGCCTGGAAGTCTCCCGAGGATGGCGGAGGCATGCTGAGTCTCTTGTTTTCCACCCGACTGGAAGGGTCCGGACTGGGAGGCAGAGAGCCATCATTGCTCTCCGAGTCGTAAGACATATTTAATCTGCTGGTAATTTTGGACTGTGTAGACTTGGATCTCCGCATCTGGCTGTGCCGTCGACTGAGAGGTGGCGTCGGAGGACGCTTATGCTGGGACTGGCTGCGCTGGAGCGAGTCCGTGGACCCTGTCGCTACAGTGACCGAGAAGTAGTCGGCCGAGGACAGAGACACCGAGCTGGGATGCGAGGTGCCAAGCGTCAGATTTCCAGGGGAGCCAGGAATTGACAGGCGGTTAGTAGACCTGGACCGAGCGGTCTGGGATGATTCTGCGGTAGCTATAGAGCCGATTCTTCGGCCGTGATGACTCCTAGGCGGAGGTGGCGGCTTCTTGTCTCTGGCTCGGCCGAGGGGGCTTGCATCAAGCTCTATAGACGACCGTGCATGACGTCCTGTATAGAAGCTGTCTGCGCCTGTCGCAGACGGCATGTTGTGGTCGGGTGATATGGGGGATCCATCTGTTGATGGAGCTAGATGTGGAGCTGACCCAGAATAATCTCGTTGTCGATCATCCTCAAGGGGAGCTGGGCTCTTATGTGCATTGATTTTGTCCTCACTCTCGCTCGCCGACACACGCAGGTTGAATGGGTTTGTGTCTTCGTCCGAGGAGCTCGAGTCAGCTACCTCGCGTTCGAGCGGTATCGACGACTTTCTGGGATAACCATTCGGGGCTATAGGTGGAGTGGACAAAGGCTTAGAAGGCACAGGGGCCAAGGTGCCCGGGTTGGTAGACAATGGAGCTGCGGGATTGCCTGTGTCTCCAGATTGACATCAGCGCCACGTTATGACTCCGTGTTACCGGGAAGGCTCAAGAGGAGGGGAAAACAATACTCACCCAGGTTTCTAACACGAAAAGGATTTGATCCAGGCATCGCGAGAATGAATACGTTAGAATCGAGAGAAAAAGAAAAAGAGAAGAATTGAGGGGTCCCCGCCGAGTTTCTTATCCATGAGGTTCCCAGTACGCGCCGCTTTCCGAGATCGAGTCCGGCTGCCCGAGGCTTAAATAAAATGCATAAAAAGAAGTACAAGACGTACAAATTGTTCTTGTACGGAGATAATAGTTCAGTCAAATTGGAATATTGAAACGAATGCGTCCCAGCTCCCTATGGTACACGGGAAAAGGGTCCAGGTATGGTACAGAAGCATATAAAAGATAAAAAGACACGCTCGAGAACACAATCAAAGCCCGATGCCTCGCTCATTGCTGTGAGATAAATTAAAGAAAAGAAAGACCTCCCATATTCAAGTCAACCCCATCACTGCTCGTTATAGACATGCCATGTCTCTTCACCCTCGAAGAACTTATGTGCCAGGCGATTGCCGCTCTCCGTAGGCTGGCTGAATGCAATTTGTGCCTTTGTTATTTCCATTCCGTAAATAAAGTTGATGACCACGCAGTCGAGGAGATCTAAAGCGATTCCCTTGCGCCGCGAGGAGCCGGAAGTCCAGATGCGCGAGACTCCGACAATGGCCGGGCAGACTTCCTCTCGTGTTGAGACAGAGCCGTTGGGTGCGTCGCCATTCTGTTCCTTGACCACCGGTCGGCATTCCCAGATGCGCTCGGTTAGGCAGAGCCCGACACAGCGACTGTCCTTCATGTGCAGGAAGACTCGGTAACGGTCTACTTTCTCGGGAGAGCCCTTTTGCAAATGCTTGGGCGGTTCCGTTTGGCTCCAGAGGATCTCGTCATCGATATCCGGTGAGGAGAGCTCTTTATTGACAACCTCGAGCACTTTCTTCGCTTGGCTCTTGGCGCTAGGGGACGCCTTGCGGTCTACGATGACCACATACCCCTCGTCAAATCGAGTCGCTTCGTAAACCCAACGCGAGGCGTTGGCACGCATAAATGCCTTGCCCAGGTCGATCCCAGTCGCATTCATCTCGTGGAATTTTTTATGCAGTGCCGCGTCCTCTGTATTGGATGGGATGTATTCCATAGAACAGGTAGCACAGGTCTTTCGTGTATCATTTCCCAGGTCGATCTGCATTTGGCGCATGACAGGTTGTTTCTGACCCTTTTGTTTTGGTGGGTCCACGGATGCGCGTACGCTATTCGAGTTCACCTCTGTCAAGGGGGATGCGGTCGGAGTTTCCTTGTGCTTGCGCTTGAGAAAGGCAAATGCCGGCTTGCGGGTGTTTGCTGGTGGTGGGGTTAAGCTTGGTGGTGGCGACGATGGTGGTGTAGTGAGATCGTCAATATCATCAAGCGTGTCTTCCGACAACACGGAATTACGACGCGACGGGCTCGACAGCACGGCAGCTGAAGATTCCCGGATAGCATATTGCAGATTGGCCTCAGCTTCATCATAGTCATCCACGCGTCTTTTCTTCGCGGCGCGCTCATCATCGTAGACGCGCCATGTTGGTCGTCCGTAAGTTTTCATGAGGCCTCTGAAATGGGATGTTAGTCTACCCTTGGGTAAATTAGAACCACACCAACATACCTCTTAAATGAATTGGTAACTATCCACGGCATGACCCTGACTTTCCAAAGAATTTGCTCCTGACAAGCTCCAAGCTGCTGACGGTGGGATGAAGAAGTTGAGAAAGTCCTCGGTGACGGCACGCGTGGACGCTAGTCTGTTTTAGGACATATTGTTTTTGGATGACGAGCGTTGGCTTACCAGAGCTCTTAGGACTTGTATCCCTGACTGTGAGGATTTCAGGTTTGCTTGAGAGCAGTTTCAAGTTCAGGGAGAAAAAGATAAAAAAAATAGAAATGAAGCGATCAATAGTTGGTGGAGAGCTGGGTTTTGTGAAAAAAAGGAGAGTCTCGCCACCAGCCGGGATTAATACCGGGCCAAGGAGAAATGCGGAAGATGAGAGATTTAAGAGAAGAAGATGAAGAAGGGGAAATTCAAGACGTGAAGACGTGAAGATGCAATAAATGGAGTATAACACACAACACCAGCCTTGTCGAATTCCTGTGGTTGGTATGTCGGGCACTTTTTTTTCGCCCCCTTTCTACTTAAATTGATTCACAGTGCTCCGAACACACAACAGACAGGCTCCAATCGAAAATTCCAGCCAATGGGGCTTCTCTGGTCTAGGATAAGTCCAAAGTCAGGGAGATTAAAGATGACGCTCTCCTGAGCCCTTGGCCTCTGATTAAGGCGTGCAAGGCCTCCCCGTATTGCATCGTGCAAGGAAGCCCACGTTGGAATTGTGATGATCCTCATTGACCGCTCTGTTTTTTCATGTCCAGCGCCTACAGCTGACCGGTTATAGGCTGCAATTAATTTTCATCACAGGGAATACTGGGGCGTTGCCAACCCAACACAAACTCTTCCGGGCTGATTGGGTCAAGTCCCGAGCTCAAGTGATTGGCTTGATGTTAGCTGGCTAAGGTTACCAGGTCACATATGGGCTCCCCCCGGATTTCACTCTCACAGTGCCGACTTGGTGGCAACTGAGCCCTTGGCATGTCATCGTGCAAAGAGCTTGTGCTGGAGCCTACATGATACACATTCATCCGGTCGCTACCGGCGGGGTCCAGATCACGAGCGAGGCATCACAGGCACTCTGAACTGCCTCAAAGATTACCAGAAGAGCTGCTCCTTGTTCGGCAGATTCACTGCCTAGTGACAAAGCTTCCTTGTATCACCTTTGCCATTCCGATCCATTCATGGCCTCACATCTGTGCTGACCCTGCTCATCCACTGGGTAGCAGCCTCTCGGTGTACGGCCCCCAAGAGGCATTGCTAGAACATGAGCCAGTCAGATCAGTGTATTCTGAGTCACCACCGCAGTATTATGCAAGAATGTCACACATCCTCATCATCCGAACTCAATCCTCTGATATTCAATATTCATGCCCCAGAGAGGACTCTGTACTGTAGGTACCAACCTTGCTAGTGTACCAGGGCTAGTACAGAGGGAGTTACTCCCAAGTGAGTTGAGTTGGTACATCCCTGTCAGGCGCTTTGCTATTATTGGGATGTTGGACCTATCAACCTGCAAAAGAGAAGCCGATGTGGCTTTCCGGATGATTCAAACGCTGTTGGAATTGTATACAGACATGGACCCCGTAGAGGGGCTAGTTAATGTCGATCTCTGGCACTAAGCCGTTAAGCTAACATAAAAGGGAATTTCCAAGGTGATCGAAGAGTACGAGTAACTACAATATCCGATGTTGATATACATACGCGTGGACTCCTATATTTTACCTGCCATTCTCCTATGTTGCAATTGAGACTGTAAATAGTCCGAAGAATACATTCTAACAAACAATAAAAGAGAAGCGTAGTTACGTAGAAACGCATTAGATTTCTATATAATTCCGACGCTCGACTTTCTTGGGGCCGCCTTTTCCCCGAAAGTTTTCTCCCCCAAAAACTCTTCAACTTCAAACATCTTGCAAATACATTCAGACCAACAATGTCGGACCAAGAACAAGCTGCTGGAAAGAGAAAGCGTGCGAGTATGTATTCCTTTTGATTCTATGTCTTTTTCCCCTTGCTTTGCGGCAATCTCTTCAACTGTGTTTGATTTTTTTTCGCCGCAACTACAGACGACTCCAACCCTTCAAAATCCAACATCAATTCTTCCAGGGATTCATTCTGATTTGGTCCGTGTGACATATTGCTGGGCATTGATCCCCTCGGATCACATCCCAGCCACATCTGTCACCTTTCCCCCCCCTTCCCTTACCCCTCCCCGCGCCCAAATTGCAATTCTCAACTTCACCATGTCTGACTTTTCATCGCCAGGGACCCAATCATGCCCTCCTCCAGAGCTTCCCCAGCTCGTCGCCGAACAGCATATGCCAATTCCTCCCCATGACAAGAACACCCAACGCTTGATTGTGGTCCTCTCCAATGCCAGTCTGGAAACCTACAAGGCTGTCTCCAGTGGACGTTCAGGAACCAAGGATGAGAAGTTCTCTCTGTTGAACAGCGATGAGCACATCGGTATCATGCGCAAAATGAACCGCGATATCAGTGAAGCCCGACCGGATATTACCCACCAGGTACGATTCAACATCGCCAGTGGCAATAGCAAGGTCAAAGAATCCCCACTAATCCAGCGTAGTGTCTGCTCACTCTTCTCGACTCCCCCGTGAACAAGGCCGGTCGGCTCCAAATTTTCATCCACACCGCCAAGGGCGTCTTGATCGAAGTCAACCCTTCCGTCCGTATCCCGAGAACATTCAAGCGGTTCGCCGGTCTCATGGTGCAACTGCTCCACCGACTCTCCATCCGTTCGACCAACTCGCAAGAAAAGCTTCTCAAGGTTATCAAGAACCCGATCACCGACCATCTTCCCCCGAACTGCCGCAAGGTGACCATGAGTTTCGAGGCGCCCGTGGTCCGCACCAAGGACTATCTAGAGACGCTGAACCCCAATGAGAGTGTCGCCATCTTCGTCGGTGCCATGGCCAAGGGAAACGACGACTTTGCGGACTCTTTTAAGGATGAAACCATCAGTATCAGTAATTACAGTCTTAGTGCCAGTGTGGCCTGCAGCAAGTTCTGCCACGCTGCCGAAGAGGTCTGGGATATTCTCTGAGACACTCAACTGGAAAAAGAAAAGAAAGGATCGCGCCCAACGAGCGCGCGTCATGGTCGTCTGTACTGACGGCACATTTGCTAGGCACCTTTTTTTTACAGGCGGGGATTGAGCTGCCCGGAACGAAGCTACCGATCATATCTCTGCATATATCTGTTCTTGTTCCATATTTTGGCTGTTCTCCAAGCCCAGCTCTCTCTGCCTTTCTATATCTCTCTGTTTTGTTTGGGGGAACTGGAAATACTGCATACAACATACTGGGACTACCAAGCATCGGGATTTTCATCCCAAGGGTACGGGTGTTTAGAGAGCACCTGGGTCTTTTTTCCCCCTCCGTTACGGGTCGGATGGCATTTGGTTCCTTTTCGCCAGTCCTTGATTCGTCTTGCCTCCATCCAGCTTCAACCTCGCTGCGATGTGTAGACCAGAAAAAGTGAACAGCACATAGGTCAGGGCCCGTTTGGGGATTCCTGAGACACATATCTTCAACTTCTGTGTTCAATACAATTATGGCTTTTTTATTTTTTACTTTTAACTTTACTTTTTCCCTTTGCTTTTTACTTTCACCTCTCTTTCTCCCAATAATTCCGATTGACGTGGCATGCAACTAGCCTCGCCTCACTTTGAATACGCGAATCGGACCGAGGGTGGCGATAGGCGATGCACTTCTGCCCATTTTATATTTGGAGATGTAGAGATCGTAGCATTCTAGATCATATTCTCATAATTATCCCCAAATATCGACTTACGGTGTACAACATACTCCATAGTTAGTTAGTTGCTCTGCTACTGTACAACATATGACTCAACCCCGTAGCGGTCAGCACATCTACCCAAGCCCACCTGGCAAATCTCCTCTTCCTCCACTCCAAAGTCCGCCATTTGCTACACGAGAGGAACAAGTAAGCAAAATGTCCACTTAACGTCGATAGGCTCATGCACCTCGCTCAGGGCATCCTGAACAGACGCCCCATCCGCCAACAGGAATCCACATTGGCTCCCCGCGATGACCTGGCAGGGACCCATCTGCACCCTTCCAGCCATAGAGCGTTTCACTTTCCCAAGGTTGGGCCCCGAGGTATCCGAAAGCGGCCAAGCACAGGAACAGGAACAATTTCCGGTCTGAGTACCGTGCTACTGGGAGTACGAACTGGCATTATTATTTCTGTGCTCACCAAGTATGGAGCACGGAATGCAACTTGGGCCCTGGACACGCCTCGTCCTGGACCGTTTCAAATATCCCGTGCAGATCGGGTCCAAAGCATTGACTTGATCGTTCGGCCAATCGTCTCGGGGACCCCACTGGCCTGACTCCATACAGAGTTCACACGTTCCTCAGTGCCCACCTACTATCGAGGGGAGACATGCGGTGTTCTGGGTGAGACCTTTTCGCCAGCTTGGGCAGGATTTTGGAAGCTGCTAGCCTAGTTTCGGCTCTGTTTTTGGTTTAGAGTCACACGGCATTTATTCTGACTGGCTCTTGGGGGAACTGTTCATGTGGCCTCGTTTCCCGGCGTCATACTTCTGGCTATAGACTTGGATTCCTTCACCGTATATATCTTTACCGACTCCATTCAACCTCTCTTTTCCTTCCAGCCACCTTCGTTTTTTTCATATCCCTGTTCTCTTTTACTCTACGTGCTAGTATCCAGGCACCCTCACTTCAACCTTCGCAATGCCTGTCTCGCATATCACCCTGACTGTCGCTCACCTCCCGACCTCTACCTCTTTCTATTTATCATGTTTACAGCCATTGGGATACCAATTCATCGGTCGACATGATGACTATATAGGGTTCGGTCAGAAGCAGGGGGAACCTGCTGATTTCTGGATGACCGAGACTAAGCCTGGGTGAGTGATATAGAAACCCAGTCTCTCGACAAAGCTAACTTAAACCAAAGATGTCCTCCTGGCGCAGTCCATGTCGCCTTCCCAGCCCCGTCGAAAGACGCTGTCGGCTCGTTCTTCATAAGCGCCCTTAAAGCCGGCGCGAAGATCCACGGCGAACCCAAAATGCGAGATTCGCAATCTGGGTACTTCAGTGCAGCCGTCATCGACTTCGATGGCAACAGCGTTGAAGCCGTCTACCGGCCTGGCGCTGCCTCGGTGATATCCGCCGCCAGCGGGCCGACAATGGCTCTGCTGGAGGGTTCTAGCCGCTCTGTGGTCTCAAGGGCGAGCAGTAGAGCTAGCACTGCCAAGGCGGAGAGCATCGCACCCCCAAGGTCTGAGGCTATGTCCGAAAGATCCGTGGCAAGGTCCGACACTAGATCCGTGGCAAGATCTGAGGCGAGATCTGAAGCCCGATCCGAAGCAAGATCCGAAGCCCGATCAGACACCAAGTCTCGCGCAGGTTCCAAAGCACCCTCAGTCTATGAGCGGTCGGCACCATCTATGGTCTCGCGCCAATTCCAAGGCCCGCCACCACCGTCATATACCATGCAGTCGCACGCACCGCCCCAGAGCGACGACGGCAGCATGGCAGCCAAGACCATCGTCGGCACGCTCATCGGCGCCGCCGCAGGAGCAGCGATCGCCTACGCAATGGTCAAAGGCGACTCACAGTCAACGGCCCAAGAACACGAACCAATGCAGTTCGCAAACAGCTTCCCCCAACTCAAAGCCGCCGCACAGTCCTTCTTCGGCAACGACGACCAACAATCCCAATTCCGCGCCATCGAAGCACCTGCACCACCCCGCAGCGCCTACACCACCGCCTCAAACCCACGCTCAACCCTAACGCGCAGCGTAACCTCCAAGAACCCTCGCGCCAGCACAATCTACGACGGCTCCGAGTACATGGAAAACCCTCGCCGTGCCTCAGAAGGCAGCATCTACAGCATCCCAGAAGACATCCCGCTCCGGGCAATCGAGTACCCACCCGCCAGCAACGCCTCACAGAAACGCTACGCGTGCGCCCCGTCCACCTTCATCAGCAGCTACCACGAAGAAAAGATGCGCGCGCCAAGCAGCGTGCAGCGCTCCTCAACGATCAAAGCGCCGCAGAGCACGACGTCACGCTCGCACAAGAGCCAGCACAGCACGCACTCGCACGCCGGCAAGGACAACGCTAGCGTTGCCTCATCCTCGCGCTCAGCGCGCAACATCCCCCTCCCCACCGGCTCGAACGCAACATTCTACTCCAGCCCGAGTATCCACAGCAGGGACGGCGGGAAGTCGCATTTCTCTGCGCGGAACGTCCCGCTTCCTGAGAGCGTGGTGGATCTGGACGTTGCCTCGCAAGTCTCGCCGGATGACTCGATTAGCCAGGTTGGGTTGCATCCGCATCGCCACCGCTCGCATCGGTCTGGGAGCTCGAAGAGCTCTAGGGCTGATGATCGTGTCAGCCCGGCGGATTCGGTGAGTCAGGTTTCTCGGGCTAGTCAGCGCACTGCGAAGGAGGGGTCGCGGGCTGGGAGTCGACGGGGAAGTCAGGCGGTTTGATGATGCATGTTTTGAATAGGTCTGCCTGGTTCCTTTTTCCTTTTAGGGGGCTAGGTTTGATTTATTTTGCATTTTACTTCTTTCTTTCTTTTCGTCCTGGACTTGCTTGGACTTGTTTTGAGTCTGGGTTTGGTTCAGTCGCATGGTTTACGACAGTTGATTTGATGGATTTCTACTCTTCATTTCTTTTTTATTTGCATTTACACAGATACATATACATACATACACATATAGGGAGTTTGGATTTGGAGTTGGGCAATTGGAATGCATCAAGTGAATCAATCAGTGTTTGAAGTTGTAGTTATACGACGTACAAATTACAGTCTACACTATCAAAAGCTCATACACAAGATAGGCCCTGCCTAGATTGTGCTATTTGGATAGGAAAAGATAAAGCCCCTTATAACCCCTAAGCGCAAGACCCAAGACAAGGGCGATCTCGAACTACTCTCTGAAACTCCCCAAGCATTACCCACCGAGTCTGAAGCATCGCTAGTACAAGCAAAAGAAGAACTTGCGGAAACTCGGCAGTGTCCATAATTCAATCCTAGACGCATGGAGCGTTTGAAAAAAAGAGAAATGGATGCCATGAATGCATGAGAATTTGTCATAAGGATCGTTGGATATGGAAAGTCCCAGAAACTCAGCCCAACAAACAAGGTCAAACCCGGCGCAAATGGAGTTTTCGGCACCGAAGTAGGAAGCAAACGCGCGCAAGAACAGGTGCATTTGAAATTAACACACTGAGTTTGGGAAAACTGAAAACGTTTCTACGACCACAGGTACGCCAGGCTTTCGCGGATTCTGAATCTAGAGCGGGGGCAAGAAAGCGGAAAGATGCAGAGCGACGTTGAAATGACACCGATAAAAAGTGGTCGAGCGAAATAGGGGTCGCAAGGAGGGTTATTGAGGGATAGATAGAGAAGACATAAGAAGCGAAGGAGTAATCAGATTTGTCGTTTCACTCAAATAGCGTACTTCCGCGTCCACTCGCGAGCCGTCGCCTCGTAACGGGGTCGGTCGGTCTTGTAGACGTGCGCGATTTCGGGCACCAGAGGATCGTCCGGGTTGGGGTCTGTGAGCATGGAACAAATGGAGAGCAACACTATGGGTCGTTAGAAACTGTGTAGAATGAAAGGAGAAGGTCTTGCTCACCTTTAGAAATGGTGAGAGCAGGACTCCATTGGTCTCTCAGGATGTCCAGGCAGATGCTGCCGTTCGAGTTGATGTTGGGGTGGTAGATGCGGGTGGTGAAGTTGACCTTGGGGGGCTTGAAGGGGTAGTCGGTAGGGAAGTGGATGGCAAGGAAGAAGACACCGCCAGAGTATGGGGAGTCACCCTATATGATCTATTAGTATCATGGATCTGGTGATGAATCTCCGGAGCTCGCAAAGGGCCAAATGGCCCCAAGGTCCTCCAAAGCACAGACGAGAACAACTTACAGGACCCATGATGGTTGCTTGCCAGTGGAACTGTAAGAGAAAAATGACAAGTCAGCCATCCACGATCTTCTCATTGATATCAAGATTGTCAAAGCCGGGGTTGTGCCCCGCCAGATGGCGCCGAGCAAGAAAACGAGGGTTCAGAGTTCATACCAGATCATCTCCAACGGGACCAGCGGAGCAGGACGAGGGTGGATCCCTAGAGGAGAGTTAGATTCATGAACCACAAGAAGATAGCAGAGATAGCATCAGGATAGGCTTACCGGCCGAGGTCAGCGAGTTCCTTGTTAATACGCTTGAGAGCCATGACGAGCAAAGAGAGAAAGGTGAAGAAAGTGGAAAAGAAGCTGGGTGATGGGTGGTCAGTTGATGCTCAGAGTGAAAGATAAAGCAGATCTTACGATTACGCCTTTGTGTGGAAAAAGAAGAGGGAAGAAGATAATTGGGAGTCTCAAGAGGAAGAGGGGGAAAAGTGCCCCCATGGGCGGAATCGATTCTGTCGGTATTGTACGACCCAATACCGTAATTACCGGGCGCCCACTTGACACATGATGACTCAGCTGGGTTACCTCATTGAGGTATTAGAGAATGAGGCAGAAGTAGATAGAAGGGTATATGTGTGTATATTATGATTGAGTATTGCTTCATGAAAGGCAATGCCTAGGGCTGATCGAATTTGGGGTCAGGAAAAGGCATATATGGAGTATCCCGTATACAAGACAGCATTAGCAGACAGGTGGATATTTCAAGTGACCAGCCTGATACATAGAGAGCAGTGCCTAACCGGGTAGACACATATACACATTTCTAACATGGCCACGTCCAATTTTAGTCATGTCATACACTTTATATCCAATCCTCTCCCATTCAATATACCTCTGTATGTATTGAAACCCGTATTACACCGCATGATACTGATACACTGCCCCTCGATGATGTCACGTGCGGGTGAGGCGTCCGCAATTTCCCGCTTGTCCCAAAGAGGAAGGAACTGTCCTTTGATAGCGTGACCCTATACTTCTCAGGGGGAGCTCCTGATGTCTTACTGGCTACTCCTAGAACTGCGGTGTACCTCTTTGAAACATTCGATTGGGATATAGTCTATATACAAATATGTTCTTTTTATGTTCAGACAAAGGCCTGCTTGCCTGTAATGGCACGGCCCAGGATCAAAGCTTGAAACATGCATTAGCCTCAGCCCAACACAATCAGGCAGGGTTGACTTACCATGGATATCGCTCTGACCTTCGTAGGTCTGCACCACAAACAGGTTGGCCACATGGCGGCCGATATGATACTCGTCGCTGGCAGCGTTGCCACCGAAGATTTCCTGCAGACTAATACTATGTCAGTAAAGCAACCCAAAAATAAAAGACAGAGAAACCTACGTTCTGGAATTAGCCAGAGCACGGTCACAGTTCTGACGCTTGATCATCGAGATCATCTCAGGCGTAGCCTTGCCAGCATCCTTAAGACGAGCCACCTGGATCGCCGCCAGGGTTCCGTAAGCAGCATCCGTAGCAGCGTTAGCCAACTTCATCTGAATAAGCTGGTACTTGGCAAGCGGGTTGCCCTTGAACTGCTTGCGCTCCAGACTGTACTCGCGCGCACGGGCAAGACAATCCTCCAGGGCACCCATGGCACCAAAGGCAATTCCCAAACGGGCACTGTTCAAGCATGTAAAGGGACCCTTGAGACCTTCGACATCGGGCAGCATATTCTCCGCCGGTACGGGGCAGTTATCCATATGGATCATACCAGTGACGGAAGCACGCAGGGCAGTCTTATTCTTGATAGCGGGGGTCTCGTACGACCCGGGCGTCGCACGCTTACGCTCCACGATAAATCCACGGATCTTCCCAGTAGACTCAAGCTTAGCCCATACGAGCGCGATGTCAGCGATGGGCGAGTTCGTGATCCATGTCTTGCTGCCGGTGAGCAGGTACACGCCCTTCTGCGTGGGGTGCTCCCGCGCCACGGTTTCCATGGACCCAGGGTCGGAGCCGTGGTTGGGCTCTGTCAGACCGAAGCAGCCGGCGATTGTGCCCTTAGCGAGGCTAGGCAGGAAGCGCTGCTTTTGCTCTTCTGTGCCGAACTCGTAGATACCGGTCATGGCTAGCGAGCTCTGAACTGACATGCCTGATCGGTATCCAGAGTCCACGCGCTCAACTTCCTTGGTGATGAGGCCCGATGCCACGGTGCTGACACCCGCGCATCCATATCCTTCAATTGAAGCTCCGAGGAGGCCGAGGTCGCCCATCTCTTCTAGGATTCGGCGGTCGTAGTTCTCGTTGCGGTAGGCCTCTGCAAGGAGGTCACTGACGTCAGTCCATCATTTCACAGAAGCAAGCGAATTAAACATACCCAAAACGCGGGGTGCAAGCTTATCCTGGCAGTATTGGCGTGCTGTCTCCTGAATTGCCAATTCCTCCTCTGTGAGCAGGTCCGCTGCGACGAGGGGATCCTCCCAATTGAAGACGGCCGAGGAGGCGTACCGGCGGCCTGCCACGGAGGTAGGACCAGCCTGGATTGAGCGCGCAGCTGCGCGAAGAAGAGATCGGTTCATCATAGCTAAAACAGAGAATGGACAATTGAACAGAGTGGAGAGAGAATAAAGTTGTCAATTGTTGCGGAAACTGGATCAAATATGCGGATACCTCGGCAGTCTTGCAAGTTTGGGGTAAATGGAATCACCGAGTGCAATACACCAGGAATAACGGAATTACAAGATCAACAGTAAGTCGGCTTTTGTATTAATCTAGTCCAATGTGATTCGACAGAATCCCCGAGAAATGGGCTGTTTGGTTCCGCATGTTCAACCGACTCGGACTTTTTCGGTCTACCGGGTGGCTCTATGCCAAGCACCGAGAGACAAGGTATGTTATACTCCGGAGTCCGTAGAGCATATGTATCTTAGTCGCATGGTGATAATTGGAAAGGAATCAAAATAAGGAAAAGAACGGACGGGGATCAAGTGGCGTCCAATGTCGAATTCCCATCCATTCTTAACTATATGTTGTACTGGGCAATGCCATTTATTAAGGAAGTATGGAGATATAGTCCGACTTAATTAGTAGTTCACTCTAATGTATGTTTCTAATATTCATATATTCTCCTGCAACAACCGTGATCGTCAATCATAGGCCGTTTATTACTATGTATAAAGAGAACAGCCCAGGGAAAACATTCCAAGTCCGGATCACGCTGGCATCTGGCTCTGAAGGAAGTCAAACACTCCCGTGGGGAAATAATCCTCGTCAAATCCCCAAAGATCCGCCATCATAGGGTCAACCGAGCCTTCCGATAGACCGGGCTCGTGCTTCCCTGGGGTCAGAGGGTGTTCAAACCCATTGCTGCGTTCGGCGGACAGCGGTGCCACACCAAGCAATGGAGGCGGGTGATTCAGAATAGTGTCACGCTCACCCAGCATCTGCGCTCCAGGAATTACCACCGGCTTGAAAAGAGAATGGGATTCATGTGCAGCTAACCCCATGGTATGGGTACCAGCAGTGCGCTTCTCCCATTCCTCAAGCCCAGTCAGCATCTTGCGGAGACCCC